AAATAGCAGAGAATAACTATACTTCCAGAAAGCACATCAATTTTAACAGCATCTGTACAAGTATAGTCTGAAATATCACAGTACAGTGTATATTGTCTGCGCTATTTGCTGTTTGTTGCAAGGAGACAAATTGCTGGGAGGCAGATATTTTTCTCTTGTTTTCCTACCAAAAGCTAGGTGCGTCTTATACTTCAGAGCATCTTATACTCCGAAAAATATGGTAGCCCGCAGTATTGCATTCTAATCACTGCACCACCCTAGTTCTTATAAATAAATGTGATAAGTTGATACATTCTCTTTTTTCATAGGTACTGCAAGTGTCTCACCAGGTGGACAACAATACGGGAACATCTTTCTTTTTCTACTGCAGAAATCTCAGCTACCATGTATAGTCCACAAGTGAGCCAATCTGTATCTCCATGCAGCCATCATCACTTTGGAATAGAAGTACCTTTACGTTCCATGAATGAGACTTCAAGCTACAGTATGGCTGTCAGTGGGCATGGGGAGTGTAAGAGATCTTAAGATTGCCCTGTATGAGAATTGCTTATTTGGATGTAAACAGGGTATTTTTCCTGAAAATAAATGGTGCTTTTCATATGGTCTTCATATATGAACACACAAGAAAGTCGCTGTTGTGATGAGGAATCATATGAAGAGAAGGCAAAATGGACTATTGGATCCTTGAATTCAAAAGGTACAGGGGCACTTTGAGATAATGAACTCCAATAATTGTATTCTATCAATATGTTGACTGCCCACTCATGGAACCTATAATACTCTCAACACATCTTTCTTATATGTTCTTCTTCCAAAAGTGATTTTCCACTCTCTTAGGGCTTTTCTGACAGACTTTCCAGGCAGTCAATTTTTCCATGTCTTGCTGAATATGTGTTTTCAAGCTGAGATACCAGGTTTTTTTTACTCATTCCCTGAAGAAATAGGCTACTTACAGTTGCAAAGAACTTTCCTGGCTGCCTTGTAAAACTGAATTTGTGAAGTTAACGTAGCTGAGTTTTCTAAGATCAGGTTAGAAAATTGAAAACCTGTGAGAACAATGCTACTGGTTGCCAAAAACACAGTGCTGTTTAGCATCTTTTATGTTTCTCACAATTGAATATATTTTAGAAAATTAATGCTGCTCTGCTATTTGCACATGAAACCAGCTCCAGTGTAAATCCTTCTTCCTACTCAGTGCAAAATCTGTTAATGTAGGATGCAAATGCACATTTCTCAGAGATGAGCAACCAGTGTCTATCCAACGGAAGAATTTATTACCTCCCAAGTTCATCCTGTCTAGAGATCTAAAGACCTTGAAAACTTACATATGATTTGGTGATTTGATTAATAAAGGTGCCATTCTAAAACAGACCATGGAATTTTTCTTATAATTAATATGGATATCTTTATTTTTTGTGTGTGTCTGGGTGAGAAATGAAATTCTAAGGATATTATACTAGGAAGTCAAAGGATCAAACCGTAAGATAAAATCTAAAAAAATATTAGCTTTATACATGGCTTTCCTCCAATTCCCACACAGTAGTTGATAGATCAGCATTAATCAGCTTCAAGTACATTAAGATAGGTGGATTTCAGCTCCCAGTATTCCCCTACCAGCATGCTTTAATTTGGATGGACTTCTCCCTTGCTAGCATGCTGGAGGGGGAATTCTGGGAGTTGAAATCCACACATCATACAACCCCCTACATTGGGAAATATTGATCTAACTCAGCAGGGCTGTCGTCTGTACCCTCTTCCACATTTTCTTCATTCAGTCATAGGGATGCCAAGCAGAAAAGAGCTTCCGGTGAGCTGGGTGCTCAAATTGGGGAAAAATACTTTTTAGCAGTGGTTTGCTCTTGAAGCTTGTTTCAATTTAGTTTCTGACCGTTTTGTTACCAGATAAGGTAACATAATCAGGATTTTTTTTATCCTATTCTCCTAAACCTATGTCATGTGTCAGAATAGTAAACCAGACGACCAATCAAAGAGAACCAATCAGCTGCTCTGAATTTAAATATAGCTCCGAAGAACAACTAATCACACAACCAACTGACCAAACTGGCACAGAAGACATTTATAGGACAAGAAAATCTTACTGAGGATACCTAGTCTGGTAATGAAAGGTTCAGAAACTAAATAGAAACAAGCTTGGAAAGCAAAACACTGCCAAAATCTAAAACCAGAGCGGCAGGTATTTTCAATTATTTCAAAAAATATTTTTTCCTGGGGTTGTGTATCCTCCTGGAAAAGTATGCAACTTTGGGAAAAGCGGCACATCTGATCAATAGACATGGGCCCCTTGTCCTGACTCAATCCCTATCGCTGCTAAGACCTCCTTTTTGTTCTTCCATTCCTAAACCTTTCAACAAACTCTTGCAACTAACCAATGAAGGAGAATATTTGTAGCTCAGGGTCGAAATGAGGGCTTCTTGGTGCCCTCTGAGATGGGTGATTTTTTTTTTTTAGACGTTTCATTATCCAACTAGGTAACCTCATCAGTGGTCAGCATTGATTATGTTTACCTAGTTTTGATAATGACACGCTCTTAAGAAAACCACCAAGCTCAGAGAGTACCAAGGAGCTCTCTTGCAAATAAGGCCTTCCTGGAAACGACTATTTAACAACATTCGCGTGGGAAGGGGAGGAGGACCCCTAAAACAGCCCGAGGACCCCCCCTCCCCTTTTTTTGTGTGTCTAAAAGCGCTTCCTTCTAACGCTCAGCCAACCCGCAGAGTGGGGCGGAGGAAAACTTTTTAGCGGGAACGGTAGCGCGCGCTCAACCGGAAGATGCTCGGGGAAACGTTCGGGAACAGGACCGGAAGGGGCGTGTCGGTCACGTGATCGCATTGCCCTTAGGGTTAGGGTTGCCCTGACAGCAGAATCGCCTTCGCGGGTTCAATCGGGCAAGGCGGCGGCGGGGGTCTCGTCGGGCATCTCTTGCCTTTTTCCCGGGAAAGGCGAGCGGGGCCTCCGCGTCGGACTCGTTTTGTCCCCGCCGGCCTCATGGAGCGCTCCGTGGCCATGACGGACATGTACGACCAGGCTTTGCTGGGGATTTTGCAGCATGTGGGCAACGTCGAGGAGTTCCTGAACATCCTCTTCGGCTTCCTCTACCGCAAGACCGACTTCTACCGGCTGTTGATGCAGCCCTCGGACCGGCTGGGCTTCCCGCCCGGCTTGGCCAAGAGGATGGCCGTTCGGGTAAGCCTGGCTGGGTCCCTCTCCACCCTCCCCGCCGGCCGGTTCTCCTTTGGACGCCCCGATTTTGTCCTCTCCTGCCCTCTGTTTTAGGTAGCCTCTCAAATCAAGCCCCCGGGACGGCCCCGTGTAGTAGGCCAGGCAGAGAGAGCTGAAGTGGGGTGAGGAACTTAGTGGTTCAAACAGGTTGCGGGAACCGGGCTGTTAAACCGTGAAATGGTTAGTTGGTTTGGATTGGGCACTTGGTAAGAAGACAGTCCGAGATTCAGAAATTGTGGGTGCTCCAACACTGGAGGCTTTTAAGAAGAGATTTGTTTTAAATGGTCTCCTGCTCCAGCAGAGAGTTGGGCTAGAAGACCCCCAAGACCCTTTCCAACTCTTATTATTCTATATTCAGGTTGGAGCATAGGTTTTTAACCTATCTTTAATAGTGTTAGCTACCCCGAGTCTTGTATTTCAGATCAGTCAGTCGCCATATAAATCTAATATATAAAAAATGTGGCCTGGCTAATAGCTACTGCTGGGTTCATAGTATGCTACATGAAAATGGACTGTACTATACAATATAGGGCAAACTGAGGCAGTTAAGACTTAAGTGCAGGCCATGGTTTGAAATAGTGTATATAACAAAAACTGGCTATTGTCAGCATGATTTATGCTGAATACAATAAATGTTTAGATTCAAGTATGTTTATGAAATAGCAGTATCAAGTTATGAGTAGGAAGAGATTCTTCAGGGTGGCTAATTTGGTGTTTGGGAAGTGCAATTATTTTTATTTAGTTTGATGCCTGTTACTAATCTCTTACTCTGCATTTTTCTTTAAATCCAAATAACTCAATGTCCAAAATGGACTTTGCCCCTCCTTCACACTCCCTATAAAATATACTGGATTCACTCCTTATGACTAGGCAAGTGGATAAATACTTGTTCTTAGAGCTGATCTGACACATAGAGCAATACTGTTATCTCCTTGAAATTGAAATGCAGTGTGCTAGCTAATCTCTAGTGATGGTCTGTAGGTTAATTATTGGGTTGCTGCTTGATTGCTGCATCACTTTCAGGCATTCAAAACCTTTGAACATCTGGCCCGCCAAGATGATGAGAAAAGACAGCAAGAAATTGAGGAGAAGTTGAAGAAAAGAGAGGCGGACATGGTGGCTGCAGGAGAGAAAACAAATGTGCCTTCTGCCATTGAGGAGGTTGAAATCACCTCGGCAGTGGAGCAGGACTCTGGACTGGAAAGTGGAAAGGCTGCAGATGCAGAGGAGCCTGTGAAAGCAGAAGAAACCGTTGAAGCACAAGTTGCTGATACAACAGCAGAACTGCCAGCATCTGTTGCTGCCCCTGTAGAAAGTGAACAAACAGAATTCCCCAGGTGAGTGGCTCTAGTGGTGCTTGGACCACGTCAAAGAGTTAGTGACAAAGTGCAGCCGTAGTGACCTAGTAAACTTGGGATAGATTTGCCTTTGCTAAAGAGGAAATGCCTTTGCTAAATTAGAGAAATGCATGTTGGTGAACAAGCTATGGTCTTGCTGCTTTAAGTGACTGATTATGTACCATTGTGGTAGTTTTATATTAAAATGCTCAGTACTTCCTACCTTTGGGTTTTTCTGACTATGTGTTTTTTGTGGGAATTCTATTAATGGAGCTTAATCTATGCAGTAGCAGTCTCTGCATGGCAAAAACAGATGGCAGCAGTCACAATCTTGGAAATCTGCCTTTTATCTACTGTAGTCAGACTCTGTTCATCTAATCCAGAATAAGGTATTCTAATTTGGCAAGCCTGCCTTTCAATTCCATTTAATTTTTGTATTGCGCTCCTGATTTTTAAAGTTTTCCATTTGCTATTACATCCATCCCTAGCTTCTGAGATACTATTTACATATTGGGTTTTTATTTCTACAAATACATAGTGACAAAACTGGAAAGCTGTTATACACATTTAAAGGCAATGTATAAGAGATACGTCAGTAATAATAGGGGGGATTAGCATTGAGAAGCCATCATGTGACAAATATGCTTGCCTGGTAACTGCTTAAAATTGCTGTTCTAACCATATATATAATAAAGTTAGCCTCTCAAAAGTAGCAAGTGTTGTAAGTATTGAGATGTATAGCTATAAATCATGTGATTTAGTATATAACTATTCCACAATTCATGGGGCTGACAACTACTTTAGACATGTTAAGTCACCTGACTCTCTGTCACTTTGTTTTCCTTGGCTTGCAGGATTTTGGGGCACTATTAAGAGGGGAGTAGATATCATCTACTGTGTCTGTTGATGGGACACACCCCATTATATGGCTGAGATTTTATGGTTCACAAATCTCAAATCCTGTACTTGGAACAAAAGGCATGGCAAGACAAAGTCACTATTTTACTACAATGTTGTTGCTTACATTCAGTTGTTCAACCTCTTTTATGTAATCGGAGGTTTGATGATAATCTGGCTCTTCTGTTGATTTTTAAAAAATAATAAAATGTATAATACTACGTGAATGAACAATAAAGGTAACATTGGCTTTAAGTCAATGTTTAATTTATGGTGTTAATACTACTGTACTGACTTATTATCAAATTGAAGTAATGAGACATTTTGATGTCTGGAACAATTCCTTGAATATGCATTATCACTCTTTCCTGCTTAATGCAGGTAATATCAGATTGACTTTTTTTAAAATCCAAGTTTCAAAAAGACAGCAGAATAATTTACATTGTGATGTCACTTTATAAATGTCTTTCTATCACATTATCACTTTACTGCATGCATATAAAATTGTTCTGAAGATTGCGCAGATTTCTTCGAATACTGGTATTTAAAACAGCCATTTCCCCAATTAAGTTGGAAAACACAACTAGCCAAAAGCCTGTTTAGCTGAAATTCCATTCTAGAGATGTTTAAAAGGGTTATGTGATTGTAGTATTGTACTAAGTGTGGTGAGATCAATATTTGTTAATTCACCCTTACCCTGGCAGCTCACTGTGTGATTTTGAATTGGTCACTTTCTCTGAACACAGACTACCAGAGAAGGTGGTTGTTTCAAGAAAAGATTGGAGAAAAGAGCCACTTGAAATGAATATAGGTAAAACAGTTCTTGAAGTGACACATATACCTGGAGGTAAAATGGACTTTGAAATGTCTGTAAAACTGTAAAGAAGAGATGTTGCTACAGGAACCGGTTTTCTAATCAGAGAGGGTGCAGCATTTTTGATCTGGAACCATGCTTTTAATTTAGTTGTCAAAAGCACAACAAGATGGCTTCCACATTTTGATTTGGCTATTGCCTTAACCTGAAAAACATAGTTTGGAATAGTGGCTTTACAATCTGTTTTCCAGAAAGTAGAACTCTTCAAAGGGTTGGCATTTCAAAAGGAAACTTATATATCGGAGAAAGTGATAGTAAGACAAAGAAAGCAGGATCTGAAGATTCCGTGCAAAACCGGTAGGTTAAAAGGGATAGAGACCCCTCCCCTCAGTCCAGTGCAGGGCAAGCTAATCCCCAGATGTGACGTTGTTTTGAGAAGTTCAGGCTGTGAAGGTGATAAGAAGCTGTTCTCAGGCATCAACAGATGTCCCTCTAGCTATTCCCTCCCCCTTACATTCCCAAGAAGGTAAATTAAAGTACAGGATAGGCATGCAAGAGGAAAAAGGTTATAAAGTGAGGAATGCATCCAGGCTTCCCCACCAGAATGGCAATGTCCCGACATCCAATTCTGAGTTTTGGACAACCAGTTCTGAGTCTGTGGTGGGTTCAGGCATGGGGACTGGCATGCCTGACCCTTCTGCCATGGCTAGAAAAGATGCTATGATTCTATGGCTAGGATTAGTTCAGGAAATTTTTTCTATGTATTATGATTTTTTTTAGTTCAATTCGCTTTTTGGCCACTAGGGTGCGTTGCAAAGCTTTGTAAATGTAGGCACAGTTCACAAGTCAGCCACTAGAGTGCGTTGCGATAGAGATCTATGGGACCTGACATGTTGTATATTTCAATGAAGTTTATAAATTAACAGTACAGATTTCATGAAAAGTTAGGCTAGTACAATATGTGATTATCTCTTGCCAAAGCACTCATGGTCAGGATTTTTTGATGACTACATAAATGATCTTCGCTACATACATCTCAGAATTATAGTACCTTTGCAATGCCTCCACTTGGTGGTGTCAGTGTCCACTTAATGCATCTTCAAATGCATATTAAAGTACTGTATCTTTAAACTCTTCTAAGCTTCCCTCTAGACATTCAATCTAAAAGCTTGGCTGATAAGATGCTATGAATAATGTATTTTTTGGACACAAATTGATGGAAATTGAGATACAGTGTGATCTCCATCTGTTTAGCTGAAGGTAGTAAGTCTCAGTGATGAAAAACAGGAAATAGTTAATAAGTGAAGGAGGGAATCTTGCCTCTTCCAATGTTGTTCTTGTCACTTTGGAAGCGTTAAACAAAATCGCTCATTATTTATGTCAAGTTCTAGTTCAAATCAAGTCTATATTAAGTGAAAAGTTATGCATGATTAATGAAAGCAAATGCCATTAAGCTGGGAGATACATGGACATCGTTCAGAATTGTTTGCATTTTATCTTTTTCAGTATTTGAGATATATTTATCTTTTTAGATTAACCCCAATATATGATATATTGCAGTAAAGTAAAACTTGATGATTTTTATCTTTCTACTGGAGATGAGATATTTATGGAGAGTTTTCCCAAATATTTTATGACTTTAAGAAGGACAATGAATATCTGTTTTTGTGGAATATTCCACCCTTTCAAAATAACTGATAACATGGTATGAAGTGACATTCTTAGGAGCAGCAGGAGTGGGCAGGATGGCAAATGCTGCACTCAGCGACTGTGGGCTTGACATGCAAAATCTGAGTATGTATTGCAAATCCTGGAGCTGCAAGTCAGCATAAAGCTGTACTCGGCAACATGGAGAATATTTGTAGCTCAGGGCTGAAATGAGGCGGTCCTTGGTGCTCTCTGAGCTTCGTTGTTTTCTTGCAGACATTTCATTACTCAAACTAGGTAACCTCATCAGTGCATTGGGTAATGAAACGCCTGCAAGAAAACAACCAAGCTCAGAGAGCACCAAGGACCTCCTACGCTTTGGTAGCTTTTGAAAACTAAACACTGTTTTCCTCTTTTTGGTTCTGCATTGGACAGCGAGCTCCAACTCAAAAGAGCTTGGCGTTTCATTTTATTTACCCTTCCAACACTGTATGCCAACTTTGGTAATACGGAATCAGTACAATTCTTTCTGCTGTTTCTGCTTCTCATACTATAATGTAATGCTTGAGTATGTTAATTAAGTAATGCTGAGGGTTATGGAATCCAATGTGACAATAGGTAAATTTCAGTTGCTGAGCCCCATTAATTTGATTTAACCCTCTGCACCATCCTTCATGGCAACAGACAGCCCCATGTCTCCCAAGTTCTGAACAATGAGAGGGAAGAGTTGTCTGTTTCATTGCCATCTGGTTGGCGCGGAGCTGCTCTTTACACCCGTTCTTCTGGGCTCAGATATTTCCATCTGTTTTGACAAGTAGTTCTCTTCATTCTCTATGTCTGAGCTCATCTGCTTTTTATTTTGAGTGCCCGCCTTCTCACTTAGCCCACTTATAGACTTGATTCTGCATACATTTGCCTGGCGGTATTTAAAATAAAGTTGCATGTGCCGCTGAGCTTCCTGCCTTCTTATTTCTATTTATGTTCCTTGACACGGATTCTGAATTTTTATTTTTATATTTAATATACATAGTTGATTTCCTCCACTTGTTCTTTTTGTTGGCACAGCCAACACTTGGGAAGAAAGCCCTCTTACGTGATAAATAGACCTGGCCTGGAATTAATATATTGTGAGGAAATCTTGGACAGAAAATTGAATAAGTGGTAGAATAAATTTGTATTTAATTTAGAAAATCGGAACTTACTTTGGCATTAAATTGAAAATACTCTTAAAAACTTGTCTGTCAAACGTAGGCTCTGAAACTGTAGCAGCTAACCTCCCTCTCCACTTTTAAACTAATCAGTTGTCCATTCCACATGAACTTCATATTTATTGGATTTTTTTTTTACATTCAGAGCAGCAAACATAAATACTCTTTCCTTCTCCCATTGGAAGAGTTGGGAGTACAAGACTCCCTTGAAGTTCTTGGAAATAAAAAAAATAAAATTGCAGCACTAAATGGGACATGGTAGAAGTAATAGATGTCTCTGAAGGCAAGCCAGGGCTAATGATAGCAATCATCATTATAGCCACAAGGGATTGTTTGCAAGTAGAGCTCATTTGAGCTCTTCTCTGTGGCAGGAAAGAATAAGGAGCAGTTGATAGATTGAGCAAAAGTAGGTTACATTGGTAGAGTAGAATTAA